ATCATGTGAGAGGTGCGTAGATGGTTATAGCGGTGCTGCTTGACCAGGAACAGCCATCTGGCACTTCCTCAGAAGTCTATCGTCCCAGGTCCGGTGCAGGGAGTGGCTCCTGTAGTAGTCCCAGAACTCGGACGCTGAGAGAGGAGGACCGCCGTGAGGGTGAGTCCAGCCTGGGCTACAGAATGAGGCTCTGTCTCAAAGGACTCAGAAGAAGATAAAGAGGAGGAGGAGGAGGAGGTGGAGAGAGCTAGTTGCTCACAGTCTCAAGGAGCCAGGATCTCCGGTTCAGTTACCTTCCTGTCTTCACATGCCCATCTCAATCCTAAGAACCCCCGGGTACTGTTTCTAGGTTCCAGGCCCAGTGCCCCCAAGAAGTCTGTCTTTACTGGTCTTCTAGAGAGCCTATTATCAGTATTTTTTAAAAATTTTTACAGTGCACATACAAGCCCATGTATAAAAACATTTTTATGTATTCATCTTATTAAGAACCAACCATATACAAAAAAATCGGAAAGGTCTACAGCTCACACACCACCAGCCTGCCTTAGCAACAGTCACCCCCCCATGGTGCTCTTCTTTGGTCTCTCCGTGTACTTTAATATGTGGTCAGAGTAGAGACCGTGGATCTAAACGATTCACGCAAAGATAGAAATATTGTTGGATATAAAGGAAATAGGAAAGGGGACAATGAGCTCTGACTATAGAGGTTTCCATGACCCTTTCCTGGATCCTGAAGTCTCCAAGGCTAACAGCTTCTCTGATATCTGGACCCCAAACAGAGTCCCAGGACAGGGCTGGCATCATGCATCCACACACAAGGAAACCAAAGACTGTATATATATATATATATATATATGCTAAATTACATTAAAGTGGTGCTTACTAGGTTAGATAAAATGACACCCTGTAAATGTGAGTTTTTAAGTGCATTTTTGCGTCCAAGTCAGATGTTAAAATAATTTAGGAACTATGTTTGGGGAACAGGAAAAATATAAGTGGTTAAGTGAAGAGAAATTGGATTGTGAGAAAGGAAATTCATGGAAAGGGGAAGAAACTGAAAAGGATAAAGGTTAAGAGCAACTAATATTTTCCTCTTTGGCACTTAAGAGAAGGGACGTAAAGAGAAAGCTTCACTGGGCAGTAGGTGGGGAAATCAGGCCTGAGCAACCGCTCAGGGTCTCAAGAAACCACAAAGAAAATCCTTCTTCCTCACTGCTCTTAAAGAGCCAGAGAAAGAGTTGGTTATGAAGGCGCATGCCTTTAATCTCAGCACTCAGGAGGCAGAGACAGGTGGATCTCTGTGAGTTCGAGGCCAGCCTGGTCTACAGAGTGAGTTCCAGGAAAAACCAGAGCTACATAGTGAGACCCTGTCTCAAAAAAACCAATTAAAAAAAAAAGAAAAAGGTGAGCCAGAGAAAGGGCCCTGACTTGGATAGAAGAGAGAAGCTGAGGAAATTGTAAACGGCATTGGAAATCCAGAAATCCCCAGTGTTCACCTTACCCGTCTTGAAAGGAATGTGCAGGTCATTCCGATAACAGCGCCAGAGGTGAATAGACAGCTAACAACTGCCAGCCGAGTGCCAAGCCTGAGACCCTGTGATATGCCCCAACCACAACCATGACGAGAAAGCTCCTAGCTCTCACGTGCCTGAGAGGGAACCTGGAGAGAAATGAGCTGAGGGAGGTGGTCCAGGGGCCCCACAGAGAAGGATGACAGAGTGGGTGCGTGGCAGGATTGAGTGGGAAAGGAGGGATCTTGAGGAGTGAACAGGATTCAGGCAGTGGGCCAGCAGAGGGCTGCTTCCGGCGTCGGAGCAAAGATTCGGTTTCTAGGCTGTGTGAATCAGATTTGTGGAGTGAGCTTCCTGGGCTTTCCCGTCCGAAGTGAAAACATGTGACAATGGTATACTGTACTTTGGGTAGAAGAGGCACTCCGGGGAAGGATCATGTTGGAGGAGTATATCAAAAGTGAAGTCTCACGGCTTCTAGGTAAATTTCTGAAGGGGAAGACAGCTCTGTGTACGGACACAGTGCCATCTGAAAGTGAAACACTGGCCGACATCCTCACTCATCCTTCCAGCCCTGGGCTTTGGGTAGGCAAGCCAGTGTGTCAAGAACACAGAGAAGGTCATCAAGAGTTGATAAGAACCTCTGAAGATTAGCAGGGGCCTTTTTTTTTTAATCATCAAATGTATATGAAAGAGACACAATACATATACAACCTTATTTCAGAAAAAAAAAATCAGAAACAACACCAGAGCTGTATGGGACACCTAAGTTCTAGCAAGCATAAAATTGAAACCCTAGAGGGGGAGAGGAGAGAAAACAGGACTCCTGACATTTAAGTGGGGTAAGAGGACACAGGATGGTGTGGAGATAGGACGGGCCTCTTCGCCGGGCTAGTGACGTCTGCTGTGAGGCTCAGATGAGAAGACACTAGCCAAGAGAAGTTATGAGTGAAAACATTTAGACAAGCACACAACTACAAAGACCCGAAATACAAGATTGGTGTGACTGGAACACCAGGGATGGAGATGAGCACATGCTGGAGTGTGGATGGGGACGGGGGGAGGAGGGTGAGGGAGGGGTAGACAGATAGGGAAGACTGAAAAGTAGAAATTGCCTGGCAATCCATTTGCTTCTCCATAGTCTCTGCCTGCCGCTTTGATCAACAAAGCTGTGGTGGTTTGAATAGGTATGGCCCCATAGACTCATGTATTGGAATGTTTGGCCTATAGGGAGTGGCACTATAAGGAGGTGTGGCCTTGTTGGAATAGGTGTGGCCTTGTTGGAAGAAGTGTGTCACTATGGGGGTGGTGGGCTTTGAGGTCTCATATGCTCAAGCCATGCCCATGCATGGCACATAGTCTCCTTCTGCTGCCTACGGATCAAGGTATAGAACTCTCAGCTCCTTCTCCAGCACCAGGTCTGCCTGCATGCTGTCATGCTTCTCACCATGACAGCAATGGACTAAACCTTAGAAACTGTAAGCCAGCCCCAGTTAAATGTTTTCCTTTATAAGCATTGCTATGGTCATAGTGTCTCTTCACAGCGATAGAAACCCTAACTAAGACAAAAGCCAAAGCTGATGTTAACTGGTTCAGTGTGACAAAGTCTAATCAATGAATGGTGGTGAGTGCTCCCAGTTCAAAGCAGAGGAAAGAAAACGGGTTTCTTCCTGAAGATGACAGCACCCAATGATCAAAATAAGTTGAATCACTGAACCGCAGCAAGACAGACAGATGCCCCTGTCAGTCACAGGGCCCCTCAGTGAATAAACCTTATGCCAATGTCATACAGTAAGAGGTTCAGATTTTATTCAAGTGGAATAGAGAATCATTTGAAATTCTGAGCTGGAGAATAATGAGCTCTTATATGTTTATTTATTTTCCTCATGGTTGTTAGGTCCAAATCGGGGTCCCCAAAATGGTAGTGCTGGTGACAATGTCCTCAACGAAGGACTTTGGCTGGGTAAACACAAGGATTGTTATTGGGTAAACCGAGCCTAAAGTCGGGTTTCTGTTTACCAGAAAATTGGATCTCACATGGCATGTTTCTGTTTACCAGTGATCTCCCTTAATTCCTTAATCTGCCCCCAAAGGCCAACTACCTTGAGCAAGGGACACCTAGTTCCTGGCTAATCTGGACAATCTCAGCTCAAAGATTCCCACCCTGCTGACTGTCATGTAAAATCTGTTTGCTTTTCCGCCATTCTACATCTCTCTGCCCCTATCCACAGCCTTGGCAGTTTGACCCACAATAAACCTTTCTTTCTACCCACGGAGTGGTCTAGCTTGGTGGTTTCACTGGACTCTTGCACACCATGGTGAAAGGCATTCGGACTCCCACACATCCAAATGAGCCTTGTGCTGTGGGTGGAATAGATTGTGGTGAGGAGGGACATTGCCGAGTTATGCTACAGGGAGTCTAATTCTGGAGTGACACTAGCTCCGTGTTAGTGCTGACCGTGGAGGAGGGTGGGATAGAGTCTGCGGACAGAACTGACAATCTGACAGAAGGTCCCCAAGGTTTGAGGCAGGGACAAATTAGCAAAGAGGAAGATAGAGTGAGCAAAGGGGGAGGCAGGAGGGTGTGACTAAAAATGATGCTTGATTTAAATATCTCTTCCAGAGAATGGGTGGAAAGGGAAAAGGTAAAGGGAAGGAGAGAGAGATCCTAATTTGTGTTATAAAGTGAGTGTGATTCTGATCCTCAAACCTGACAACATGTTCTCAAACTAAATCCAGAAATACATGAAAATATCATAAAGCTGGGTTTATTCTAGGAATAAGATAGATTCATTCCAGGAATGCAAGGGGTTTTTGTTCTTTTTTTCTTCGCTTTTAAAAAATATGTATCCTACTTGTAGAATTTACAGTGTTAACAGGACAAAGGAGAAAAATAATCTCAATAAATGGAGAAGCCTGGTGTGGTGGCACATGCCTGTAATCTCAGCATTTGGGAAGTGGAGGCAGGAGGACCAAGAGTTCAAGGCCATCCTTGGGTATATGGCAAATTTCAGTCCAGCCTGGGCTATATGGAATCCTCAAAACAAAATAACAGCAACAAAAGACAAAGAAAACCATTTGATATGATCAACAGTCATTCATGTTTTTAAAGAAATAGGAATATAGAGAACTTTCATCTGAAAAAGAAAAACATCGGTACATGTCTGTGAAAGCACCACTCAGGGGCAGATACAGGAAGGTTGCTAGTTGAAAACACCGTGAGACCCTGTTTTTGTTTTGCTTTTTTCTTAAGTTAAAAAAAAAAATGCAGCGCCGGGCGGTGGTGGTGCACGCCTTTAATCCCAGCACTCGGGAGGCAGAGCCAGGCGGATCTCTGTGAGTTCAAGGCCAGCCTGGGCTACCAAGTGAGTTCCAGGAAAAGGCGCAAAGCTACACAGAGAAACCCTGTCTCGAAAAACCAAAAAAAAAAAAAAAAAAAAAAAATGCAGCACCCCTTAGACTAGTGGTGAAATATCAAAAATACTTTCCTCTAGATAAGTGTAAAAGGAAGATGCCTTCTGCCATCCACTCTGCCCCTGTCCTGAAGGCTCTCCCTAACCAACAGTCTGCCGTCCATTCTGTCTCTGTACAAGGTCTTACCTAACCAACAGGTACCAGAAAGGGAAGAGAGGGAAAAGGGGGAGGTATGGGCCGGGAATGGAGAAATAAAACTGTCACTATTTCATCTTTGGAAAATGCTACAGAACATACAGATTAATGATGAGAATTCATGCATGTATTTATCATAATCACTGGGTGGAAGTTGAAGTTACAAAAATTAGTTGTATTATGTAAGCAGCCATGGACGATCAGAGCGTAAAAAGTATTTAATGATAGTATTTATAATCACATCAAATTCATCGAATAACTATAAAAGTATTCAAGGACATCTACTTCAAAAACAAAAAAAAATATGATTATGAGAAAACAAAGGAGACTAACGTAAATGAAATGCTAAACCATGTTCACAGGTTTAAAATTCAGTGTCGTAAAGATAACGCTTTTTCAGCCGGGCGGTGGTGGCGCATGCCTTTAATCCCAGCACTCGGGAGGCAGAGCCAGGCGGATCTCTGTGAGTTCGAGGCCAGCCTGGTCTCCAAAGCGAGTTCCAGGAAAGGCGCAAAGCTACACAGAGAAACCCTGTCTCGAAAAAAAAAACCAAAAAAAAAAAAAAAAAAAGATAACGCTTTTTCACACTTAATCTGTTTGGGCTTCAAAACGGACGTGCTGGTTGTAAAGCTTATGTAGATGTATGTGTAAAGGGAAAGAGCTATAACAACCAAGACCCGAGGAACAGTTGGATTGCCAGACAGCAAACCTTACTATAGCACTACGTCACGACCACGACGACAAGGTGGTGTTACTATGGATAGAAACACAGTCAGGAGAGCCGGGATGTAGCACAGGGATGGTACAAAAGCAGAGTGACGGCACAGCTCCAAAAAGAGCCTCGGGGACGGCGACACTTGACTTCTGACAAGGTGGTGACGAGTACTAGCGTGAGGGTTAAAATAACCATTGCGGTAACCAATGCCCAGGCAACCGGACACCCAAACGAACCCTTGCTTCGTGCCATACTTCAAAACCATTACAGGCTGTCATCGGCCTCACCATGAACTATAAAACGTCTAGGAGGTCGAGATGGAGGCCATCTTCAGGGGGACATAAGCTCCTTAAACGTGACACAGAAAACCCTAGCCTCAGGAAAAGGGCAAAACCAACATTACAGGGAAATCAAACCTCTGCTCATCGGAAGGCACCAGTTAGAGCAAACAGTATGCATTTGGGGGGAAATGTTTAAAAGCCAACAGAGTATTTTTAACCTGGTTATTTAAAATATTTCTATAAATCGGTAAGAAAAAGAGTAACAAGCAAATAGAGAAAATAGCTAAGACACTAGCCTAGCCACTTCCTAACAGAAAACACTCACACGGGGTGGGGGCGCATTGGGGGGCTGGAGAGATGGCTCCGTGGCTCAGGGCACCTGTTACACAGCCATGAAGGATGGAGCTTGGATTCCAACAGCCCTGTAACAAAGCCAGTGTCCCAGCACTTTAGCCCCAGCTTTGAGGAAGCCGAAGGTGGTGGTGGGGGGGGGGGGGAAGGTATTAGTATTCATCAGGAAAATGAAAACTGTAGCCACAATGAAATGTTGCTATTCATACCCAAAAGGCAAAGATGAGAGGAAAAAATCATGACAACTGCTGAAGAGTGAGTCTCAAACATTGCTGAAAGGAATGTGAGTTGGCACAACCATTTAGGAAGACTTTTTGGCAGAATCCACTGTAGTTGAACGTGTATACGCTCAATGCCTGAGTCGTGCCTTGAGGGTACCAATCCTAGGTACAGGGAATGCAAATATATGCATCCCAAAGCATCTGTACAAGGGTGTCCACAGGAACACCATTTTAATCACTTCAAGCTGGAAACGATCCATGTGCATACCAAGAGTATATTGGTATATTCCTACACTAGAGAACTGCGTGTCAGCAAGAACCAAGCACTGGAGAGGGAGCGAGGCTCCCCAGCCCACCAGTCCTCAGCTGGTTGAGTTTTCTAGTCTCACCCCAGACAGGTTGACCGAGGAGGCCTTTGAGATGCCTCCTGTTCCAAGCACTTGTAGAGAGCAGCAGCGTGAGAAATAGCATGGAACTGAGTGAGCACTGCCTAGCCGCCCCAGCTAGTCCCCACTGCAAAACATGACACCGGTCTGAAGTCACTGTATCAGGGACAGGTTTGACACAGTATCGGGTAACCAGAGCATACATGGAACTTTGAAAGGAAAAGCAACGTAGAATAGATTCAGCACAGCACGGTGGTGTCCACCTGTAATCCTACATTCAGGGTGGGGAAGCAGGAGGGCTGTGAGTCCAAGACCAGTCTCATACAGTAGCAACATACTGTCTCAATCAAAATAAATAACCAGATAAAAAGAGAGCAGAACAGACTCAACTTGCAAGTCACTTTTAAATGTTTAAGGAAGGAAAATGAATTGGCTAAGCTTATACAATCCTACTAATTATGAATCCAATGCTAGATTCATAAACAGGGCACGGTAATTTCTATTTTCAACTTAAAAGTTGAAGAAAATATCAGGGCTTAAAAATTTTCTATTTCAATAGAAACTTATTTGGGAACAAAAAAAAATAACCACACGGAAAATTCGCTGGATCCTTGCAGACAATTTAAAGCAACAGCATCTGGGAGAGGCATGGGGTGCTTTAGTGAGCGCATGCTCAAGGCCATGGCACGTCATAGGTGCTCCACCCAAATCAACTCATGGGCTCCTCACAACAACCCTATGAGGTGAGTTCCTAGCCCCACTTGACAGATCAGGCTCAGAGGCTGTGTAACCAGTCATGGTTCTACAAGCCATAAAAGAAGGAGTCAGGCCTGATGCCTCTGGACCTTCCTCCTATGAGGAAGGTTGATGAACGTAAGTTTCTCCATGTCACCCTTGGGGCAGTTGTGGGGCTGGCATGGCATGTCCGTCTCCCATCTTGCCCCCGGATCTTTCTGATGGATGTTAGAAGGGCCATTCAGGGAACATGGAAGAGAGCCATCTGCCCCACAGACAACAGCTCTGTGGTCCTTAAAGCTCAGGAGTGTGGGTTGGAGCCAAAGGGGCCTGTGCTCTGGACATAACCTGAGAAGAGTTCTGGAGAGGAGTTCTGGAAGCTGTGGAGAGAAACAGAAAAAGGATATCAACAGCTGGCTCCAGAGGGCTTGCCCAGTACCACAGGATCTTTGCTGGGTTTCCGTTTTCCCTGCGGACCCCATGCCCAATGCCTAGACATGGACAGTTGTGCTCTTTAGTTCTTTCGTTCTGGGATGGGCGGGAGGGGGGGTCACTTCTGAAGTTATCTATCTGGAGTTCTCTCGGTCTACGGTTCTATCCTCCTCTGTCGACACTTCCGAGATGCCCTAAGGAAAACACTCGGCTTCCCATTTGCTGTTCATGGATGATAAAGACAATCCCAGTCCCACACTGAAATTCAACAGGCTTTCTGAGACCCTGCCTTTCATTTCTACCAACAGAGGGGTGGGGAGACAAGGCCGGCAGAGCAGAACTGGAAGAATGACCTGGGAACTCCGCAGGGAGGGACTGCTGCCCTGGACCTGGCTCACACAGGGGACCTCTGCCAGCAGCAGATCAGCCACTGTGGAGACCTCAGAGCCTGCCAGCCTACGAAGAGCAAACTGTCTGCCCAGGAGCTGTTCGCTTGCGCTGGCAGCCATCAGCTTTCCCTCTGAGGGAAGAGTCTGAAGGCAGTGTGACAGCTCTGTCTCTGTCAGAACACACACGGGGCAGGGGGGCGGGGTGGGGGCAGCATGGGGTACAGCACCACTCAGTTCTTCTGAAGCTCGGGAGCAAGACGTGGTCTCTCTCAGCCTCCTCCCAGGCTGCTCCTCGGCTGGGAGAGGACCCTGCCAGCTGTCGGAAACCAAACCACTTCCACCGGGTCCTGTTTCTGTTGAGTTGTGGGAAGGGCTGTCCCCACCAGCCCTTTTCCATGGGGTGGGAAGGCAAAGGGTAGGTCACAGGGAGGGAAGGAGAAGCAGACACGTGGAAACTGTCTAAAATATGACCGATTATGACTACGCCTTCAGCTCTTTCGGAACATTCAGTGGCTTGAAGGTAGAAGCCACCTGGGGTTTCCTTCCTCTCTGCTATTTTAAATAACAGAAGGATAAACACAGGAGGATCTGGGGGCAAACAGCGGTTCTGGGAAAGATCTTAGGACAATTTGGAATCATTCTTGTAGGGGACAAGATGAGTTCAAGCCTGAAAGTTAGACGGATTTCAGCTTGGTATGAGCAATGGATTGCTCCCTGCATGCGAATTACACATTATGTGAAGAGCTCCTGCAAGGACCCCAAGACATCTCTCGATTTTCCAAAGTGAGTCAGGCTCCGGGAAAAGGAAGCCTCAGATTATCCCCGCTGAGGCGATTTTCTGACGCTCACATGAAGTATACTCTATCCCGATTTCCTTCGCCGAGGAGCCAGACACAAAGGTTCTAAGTCTCCTTCTTATTCACCGTGCTGCCGGTCCTCTGACTTTTGGGAAACATCCTTAAAGTCGGGGCTTTGGGGACCTTCATTTGAGTGGTTTTCTTTATCCTCAGAGAAATGAGTACTGGCCTTGGAGGAGTTAGGATTCAGAATTAGCAAAACGGAGACACAGGGGTGCTTAGGGAAGAGAAGAGAGAACAGAGACAGAGATTGGGCAAAGGCGGGGGGGGGGGGGGCAACAGAGCTAAAACTAACATGGGAGAAGTCCAGGGCAGGTGGGGAGGAAGAGGGACACTTAGAGCCACCAACTGAGACATCAGGGACGAGGAGGAGTCAGGGATGGAAAGGAAGCAGAAGTCAGAGCCCTGTGAGCCGAGGAGGTGCTGAGGCAGGCTGGACAGCATGAATACCCACAGGTCACACTGGTCAGCAAGGAGCGGGATGGAGCAGGAGGTGTGGAAAGACAGAGAGGGGACCAGTGAACCCGGACAGTAAACTAAGCTATCGTGGGGCTCAGCGCCTTGGAATTACTCCACGGGGGATGATAACTTCTCTGTCTCTAAAGCTGATGTCTGTCTTCACGGCCTTCATCCCTCTCACTTCTTTCATCGGCTGCGTGGATTGTTTTGGAAATACACGTCTACTCATTCACTCCGTGCACCTCAAAGGCCTTCCACACTGGGGTAGTTCCTCAAATCTGTCGGTGCTTCCCAAAGAACGACAGGTCCCTTTGGTGGTGCCCCTGGCACTTAAAATGCCTTCCAGACTGTGGACGGAGGGGTTTTCCTCAGGAAAAGCCAAGCCTCCACCAAGACTAGGTAGAGCCCAGAGGAAAATGTCACAGTATTGTAAGCTCAAGCAGGGGAACATGAAAGTGACTTCCCAGAACTACTGAACACAGCCTTCTTCCAGGTACACACTCGTAGGAGGGAAATCCTGCCAGCATGGGGAGGCCACCCAGGTCCAGGCCCAGGCCACTGCCCACACAAGTGGGCTGCTGGGAAAAGCCAGGCTGTCCTACACCTGTCACAGTAATGTTTAAATCAAAGCAGTGTCCAGGCCTCTGCCTGAGGGACCAGACCGTTTGCCACTGGGCAAGAGGAAAGCAAGACAGGGCCGTTTGCTTTCCAGAACTATTTGCCTGCCATCACTAGTCTCTTTGGTTTTAACAGTCCGTCCTAGTCAAGTCTTAAGAACGGCTGCTTCCCAGAACTTATCTATCCACCAGGGAGACCATCAGTAGAATGATACCAGCATTCTCTTCCCTTTGAAATACATGCCACAAGACAATACCTCCTTAGTCCCAGCAGTGCATTTAGTAGCTATTAGCAAAGTCTAACCCCTCCCACCCCCAAAAGATTAGCAGCCCGCCGGCCCGCTCTAAATGTCCGTCAATCCGTTCTCTGAAATATAACCACAGCTGTGAGTAGGTTTAGAAAACCCTTCATTGCAAGCATGCACCTGCTGTGAGCACGGGGCTGGGTTAGAGCAGCGAGTCCTCTGAAGGGGGCTCCGAAGCTGCGCTTCCACCCTAAGGAGCCAATACAACCAGCACTGGCAGAACCGGGCACATTCACCTCTGCATACTTACACAGGATCCTTAGCTGGTGGTGTGCCCATGTTAGCTCTGCCCTCATCTCATGTACTCCCCATCACTCCTATAATCCATAAACGACTCTGATCCTGAAACCTCTTCAAAATCCTCCAGCACCAGACTGGTGGAGTCCTCACCCAGGGTGCCGCTGTCAGGTCTGGACATCCTGGCCCGAGACAGAGGCACAGGGAAGTTGGTGGTAGCGGGAGGTGGGGAACAAGGGGCTGTTGTTGGCAGGATACAGATGGGCCTGGCCTGAGCAGGGGACACAGCCGCCTCAAAGACTTCCTCATCATCCTTCTCAGACTCCGGTCCTCCATCTGAGGCTGAGGACCCCAGAACGTGGTAGAGGCTGGGGAGGCGGATGTCGAAGCGCAGCCCAAACTTAGCAAATAGCTTGTCATTGAGGGTGTAGAGCTTCTCGGAGATGTCATAGCCCAGCAGGGCTGCGAAGAGGCGGGAGATGTATTGCTCTCTGTTTAGAAGAAGGTGGAGATTTTTCCGGGGCCAGGAAATGTAGCTGCATTCGGTCTCGGCAGTCAGCGTGACCTACGGGGTTAGGAGCAGAGAGAGGTTTACAGTGCAGAGAAACAAGTGACTATTTTGATTTTGGTAGCTCTCTATGGCCTAGCCGGGAAGAAATCCAGGACAGACTTCTTGTGTGCACTGTGATGTGCATTTCCTGTGTCAGGAACTGGGGACAGTCCCTTGCTCACTTATCCATGACCCCCTGGAGTCTCAGTCTGCGTATCTCGTCTCCTAGGTTCTTCTGTTGTTGTTTTTGTTTGTTTGTTTGTTTGTTTGTTTGTTTTTCGAGACAGAGTTTCTCTGTGTAGCTTTGGAACCTGTCCTGGAACTCACTCTGTAGCCCAGGCTGGCCTGGAACTCACAGAGATCCGCCTGGCTCTGCCTCCCAGAGTGCCACTGCCGCCCGGCCCCTCTCCTAGGTTCTTACATTCTGTGGTTCCACTGCTAACAACAGTGGCTGCCAAAGATTCTGAGTAGAAAGGCTAAGAAAGGGAGGGCAGCATCCGAGGGCTGAAGAGAAAACAAACTAAACGTAAAGATGGTTCATCTTGGGGGTTGGGGATTTAGCTCAGTGGTAGAGCGCTTGCCTAGCAAGCACAAGGCCCTGGGTTCGGTCCTCAGCTCCGGGAGAAAAGAAAAGAAAAAAAAAATTCACCTTTAAGAACAAAGACGTAAGAACCAGGCTTGGTGGCCCGTGCCTGTAATCCCAGCTCCTTGGGAGGCTGAGGTGGGAGGATGGCAAGTTCAAGGCCAGCCTGGGTACCTTAGAGGAGAAACTCAAGGTCTGGGAAGGAGATAACTTCGTGGTAGAGAGGCAGAGCACTTGCCTAGCATGCGTGTGTAAGGCCTTAGGTTGAATTTCTAGTACTAAGGGGAGAGGAACCATGACTGGGGCACGGTCACCAAAAGAGCAGTGGTGGTGGGGGGAGTTTATTGAGAGAAAAGGTTACAAATTAAGCACGCCAAGATGTATCAGATGGCCAGAGCACTGGGGTTCGGGTCTCCGAATCTGCTCTTCACTTGGTTGCAAACCCAGAGGATCTCATGAATTGAGGAATAAAGCATAGAAAAAGAAACTCATGAGCAGAATGGAACAGGTCCCCTCCTTCAGTTATTTATGTAAGGGCCTAGGAATGTCCGCATATTCACTGTGCCCAGGATGCAAACTAGATTATCAGCAGGAGAAACAAGCAACAACATGTTCTTGGCACACAGTAGGCCTCCATAATCCTTGTTAAAATGATGAGTTAGGCATGGTGGCTCGTGCTGTGTAAGCCCAGCACTCAGAAGGTGGAGGCAGTGGGCCAGGAACTGGAAGCCACCTTCGGCTACATGGTGAGTTCTGGGATAGCCTGAGCTACAGCGTGAGCTCCTCTCTCAAAACCAAAACCAAAGATGAGCAGCATGCAGGCTCAGATGAAAATGGAAGCATTCCAAGGATAGCATAGAAAAGGGAACAGACTTAGACAGTTTGCTATGATCTGGCTGACACAATCCTTTCGCTGGCAGGGTCAGGGTGTGAGTGGAGAAGATGGACATCGAGGCTAACCTTTACTGAGCCGTGACTATGTGCCAGGCCCTGTATTGGGTGCTTTATGCTGATTATGAAATGTGGTGTTGGCTTTTGAAGTATTCTCTGTTAGAGATTATATACAACCCCTCAAATTCTTGTTATTTGGAGCCAGAAAGATAGCTGAGCAGGTTAAAAGCACTTGGTGTTCTTGCAGAGGACCTAAGTTTGATTCCCAGCACCTGCTTGGGCAGTTCACAACTGCCTATAACTTCAGCCCCAATGGACCTAAAGCCTCTGGCCTCTGCAGGTACCTGCACTCATAGGCATATACCCCCTCCACACACACGATTAAAAATAAAATAAGTCGGAGTTGAGAATTTAGCTCAGTGGTAGAGTGCTTGCCTAGCAAGCGCAAGGCCCTGGGTTCAGTCCTCAGCTCAAAAATAAATAAATAAATAAATAAATCTTTTAAAAAGACACAACTTAAAAAATCTGGCATTGCCTACTTTACCTCCCATCACCCCCCCTCCTCTTCCTCAGTGTCCGATGTGCCATCCTCTGCTTCCTACTCCCCACAGCCGCCTACTTCGACTAACTGTTAGACCAAGGTCCTAAATTAGTCACCAAGGCCAGGGGCTGTTGCTGGTTTCAGCGTTCCCCCCCTCACCGGCTGGGTAACATCCGTTAAATTACTGCGGTGTCCGGGCATGTCGCCTCTGAGCATTCTGAAAAGGCGCTCACAATCTGTCCCTTACCAACGGCCGAGCGTGTGCTTGTCATGCTCAGTCATAGCCTCTGCCTTGGCAGAAAGTCCCAGACAAGAACCTGGTGCCAACCGCAGAGCAGATAAACGTCTGCCGGTGTCCCCACTTGGATGATGTCAATGTCTGTAAGATCAGACACAGTGATTATGGGCTTCCCCACTGTAGGCTCTTACTGCTTCCATTAAAAATAAATAAATAAATAAAATATGAAACGCCTTTTCTTTGTCTTACTTTCATGGTTGGCTACCACTATATTTATTTTCTGTTTCAGCAAGCTCCACAGAAACCTGTCTCTACTTACTGTCTCCTTTCTTCTGACTTGCTCTTTGGCAAATAAGGCTGTCAATCATTGTTCCTGTCAATCAAGACCCCCTGGTGGCCTCCTAGTTCCATGGGTCAGCTGCACTCTGCTGGGTCACCTCTCTTGGGCACACTATCTTCCTGGGGTTCTCGGGGTGCCAAACACGCCTGGGGCAACCTCCTGACTTCTTTTCAGGTTCAGTTCTGGTTCTTCTTTTTCTCCCTAACTGTAACAGAGGAGGCCAGGTTCTCGACTGCTTCTCTATCTTCTCATTCACTAGGCAATGCTAGCCCGTCCAATGGCTTCTAGCATTATCTGCAGAAAACCCATTCCCAAATTCATCTCTCAAGCCCAGACCTCATTCCTGGGTTCCAACTGGACTATTCCAACTGCCTTTGCAACATCCCCACTGTCCAAGATGAAGCAAACTAAACACATCCCAAGATGCACTTCTCCCCCTCTGGCAAGCTCTTCCTGCAGCCACCCCATCCTTCTTGGTGCTCGGGTCAGCAGCCTCCTTCTTCACTAATTAAGCTTGTTAGAAAATCTTCTGGGCTCCATCTAGAAAATACATGCTCTGGCCCTTATGTAATCTGGTTCCAATGACACCTCTGCAGCTTCCTCTTCGGCTAGCTGCACCCCACCTCTAGGTGCTTCCCTTTCTGTGCCTGAAACCTGCAGCTCTCCCTCAGGACTCCAGCACTTGCTCTGTCCTCTGTCTCACAGATGACCAGAGTGCACACTGTCCCCTCTCAAGCCCTTACTCGGCTGTCACTCAAGGACACCCATGAGCACTGTATTTAAACTGCAGTCTTACTCTGTGTTCTCTGCTGTTCTTTTAATTAGCGGTTATTATTTTCCAACACATTCATCTATTTGTTATATCTAGGGTTTATTTTTGTCCCTCCTGTTGGAATGTAACTTGAATAAGGACAGGATCTGTGCTGTTCATTGATGTATTCGAAACTCTTTCAGCAGTGCCTGGCATATACTAAGTTCTCCAGAGGCATCTCTGAAGGGAATGCATGATGAATGAAGACAGTCATATTGTCAAACAACCTAGCGTCATTTTCTCATGTCTTATAATGTCCTTCCTTGGAGTCTGGAGAGATGGTTCAATAGTTAAGAACACTTCCTGCTCTTCCAGAGGAACAGGGTTCGGTTCCCAGCACCCATGTCAGGCCACTCACAAGAGCCTATAATTTTGGCTGATGCCCTCTTCTGACCTCCCAGGGCACTGCACCTATGTGTACCTACCACCACCACCACCACATACACACAACTAAGGATAAAAAGTCCTTCCCTGAAGGTGCTCTACAAGTCTACTTTCTTTTATTTGTGTGTGTGTGTGTGTGTGTGTGTGTGTGTGTGTGTGTGTGTGTGTGTGTGTGTTGTGTGTTGGGGGTATGTGTGTATGGGTGTGTGTGTTAGGGGGGTATGTGTGGGCATGTATGTATATATGTATGTGGCTGTGCTGGCCTGTGCATGTACATGTGGAGGCAGAAGTTGACTTCAGGTACCTTTTTCTATTGCTTTACACTTTATTTTTTGAGACTAAACCCATCACTTGACATTCAACTAGACTGGCTGGCCAGTAAGTCTCCCAGATCTGCCTGTCTCTGGCCCACCTGGTGCTGGGGTACAGGCACGTGTCACCATGCCCTGCTTTTTTGCTGGGTGCTGGTGATCTTAATTCAGTCCCTCGTGCTTGCATAGCCAGCACTTACCTACGGCACATGCCCCTCACCACAAGCATCCAGGACTGTCTGTAATAAAGTTTTGATAAGTACCAAGCTTTTTCTTCATGAGAACATATGTAAACAGGACACAAGTCCAGTAAAACGGGACACGGATTGGAGGCTAATGATAAATTCTGTAGGAGGTGCCTCTGCTCGGCGCTGGATGAATAATGAAAGCGTCACAGTGCCACCAGCCAGCAGAGCTGGGGTAACTGAATTGTTGAGAGGCTGACATTTGTGTTAAATGTGTGGTGAATGGTGATTCAGGCAGTCCCCGGAATGGCTCTTCCAATCAACAAAGCTAGGTCAGAGGCAAGATCAAGATGAACTGTAACACAACAACATTTGATACCTGCAAAGAGGAAATGGGGCTTTACACAGCCGACAGCAAGGGCGTGGACCTCACTGCTTCTAAATGAGGCACACCCGGGATATAAAAGGGAGGAATACGAGCATGCTTACGTTCCAGGCCGAGAGGCCATCTGGGGTGACAGCCTTCCCTTTGGAGCATAACCCACCTGTCCCTCCCTGTCAGCGCTGTAGCCTGGTCTGGCTGGCCCCAGCCCCCCCCAGCTCTCCTGGTCTTTCTCCTGGTCTGAGGGAGTTCCCAGAGAATGCCTCTGGGCGAGGCAGAGAGGGTGGGGATAGGACAAAGGTTATGTGACTGGAGGGGGTCACAGGCTAGTGGTCCTGTCAATGGCAGCAGAACTGCCTCTCTGACAGTATCACCACAGAGCTAAGTGCCAGGATTGGGACAGAAGCCAGCCCCAGGCAGTGGCATTGCCTGACAAGCGTCTGTTCCGGGGTTAGCTCATATGCTGGTTAGAAGACTCTGGTAGACATCATAGAAGACACACAGAACCAAAGACGAGCAAACTGTCTAGCAGAGTCCCTAAGGGGGTTGAGTGAACCACTCTTAATGATGGTCCTTTCATTTCTTAAAGAAAGAAAAAAAATAGACAGTAGATCCAGACTCCTTCTTGGCTTTGCCACTTTCTGGTTGAGTGCATGATGCTTTGGAACCTGAGATGCTTTATCTGTTAACAGTAACAGCCAATCGAGCAAGCTATGTGAATCAGCCCCGAGGGTGTGAGTGACCCATCGAGTCTTCTGAACCACCAACTGCTCATGGGCAACCAGTTCAGTAAAAACTGTGTTCGTGGGACAGTATTTTGGAGTGTGGAGACAGAGACAGAGACAGGGACAGAGACAGAGAGATGGAGATGTCTTCACATCAGTAGAATAGAGAGCGATGTGCACAGAGCCAGCCCAGAGGGAAGAGCTCAAGCAGGCTGGGGGGCATAGAGGCAGGAAGGTGAGCCCAGCAGCCCTCAGAAGAGTGCTGGGGGAGGGGGCATGGCTCTTGTTTAGAGGGGAAACTGCATTTCAGATAGAGGGGCAAGAGCAGGGTCAAGGATGGGGGACCGGTGATTGGAGAGCTGGAATGAGCCGCATGAACCAGGAGGGCCGGAGCTGCAGCCAGCGAGTGCTAAGAGTTACTGTTACCCTACGTAGGATGGACCTTTTTTTTTTTTTTAGCCTGTAGGCATTAGTCTTTTGGAGGGTTTGCAGGCACGCGAGTGACGTGACTGCCTGTCAGGGACCGACACCACCCTTCCCTGTTCCCCAGACTCGGGAGCCCAGGCACGCTTCTCCCACAGAAAGCAGAGGTCATGACCCCACCCACTCTCAGCATCACGTTTGGTGGTGGTCAAAGTGCAGACGTGAGCGAGGGAGGCAGCAATGTTGGGTGCTTCCAGTGATGGGGGCGGGGGGCAGCGCTGCCATGGGGCTCCCTTATTACCTGAAGATCCCCTCCTCAGAAGGCTGCAATGATTCCCACTCGGGAGAGTCCATGAACTGGTACGGGAAGATGTAGTGCAGAAACTGCCCATCCTGGCTCACTCGAACCCTGACAAGAGGAAAGAAGACACTGGATGGAAAAGGGTCATGGCTGCTCGTGTGCCCTCTGCTGAGGGCACTCATTGCTGACTAGCTCAAATCCTCCGGCAGAAATGCCCAGCTAAAGTGTGGAGAGGCCAAAGCGGATGTGACCCAGTTAAACATGGAAACCAAGCTCTTGTGGAAGGCAGGAAGCAATACCTCCTGAAAACTGCCTTAGGCATGGGCCTTATCCCAAAGCAGAAAGAAACACCACTAGGGTGAGATCTGAACACTGGTAGTTTAAGAATCTCCCGAGTCAGGTGGGAAATCGGGGGAGTGGAGTGGTTGGTTATTTGTTTGTTTGTTTTATTTTGTTTTGTGTTCTTTTTTGTTTGTTTTATTTTCTCTTTATTTCTTTTAAAATTTCCTTTGGTGGGGAATGCTATAAGGGTGAAAAACGGATATGGAGGGACTGGGATACGAGTGGGATTGGGGTGCACGTGTAATTTCCAAAGAATCAATGAAAACAATTATGTCTAAAGAAGAAAACAAAAGAGACTCTCCCCAGTGATTCCACTACGCATCCAAACCTCAGTGCTGGGGCTCTGCTGTCCACTCACCACGTGTGGCTCTTCCGATTAAGATTTACACTCATTAAAATCAAGTGTAGTTAACAGTCCAGCTCCTCAGTCACACTGATCCCACCCCAAGCGCTTCGGTCTGTAGCCGTGTGCAGTCTGTGGCTGCCATATTGTACGGCACGGATGTAGAATGTCGCCGCTGCTGTGGAAGGTGCTGTTCTACCGTCCTCCCTGGCAGGCTACAGGAGCAGCAGTACTGAGGACAGCTCATGTTTGCAAGGGGAAGAAGGACAGCGTGTGAGAAAGACAAATGGATGCTCCGCATGTGCCTGCCCATTTAGTCATCACAGCGATGCAAGGTAGACTGGTTTTGGGTTTTTTTCTTCCTTCCTTCCTTCCTTCCTTCCTTCCTTCCTTCCTTCCTTCCTTCCTTCCTTCCTCCCTCCCTCCTTCCCTCCTCTCTCTCTCTCTCTCTCTCTCTCTCTCTCTCTCTCTCTCTCTCTCTCTCTCTCTCTCTCTCTCTGTTTTACAGCCAAGGAAACAGATGGTCGGGAAACTTAAGGTCATATGGTTACCAGGCAACAACACTGAGATTCTACGTTCTCACCATGATGTCATGTTACTAGAGTTTTGGGGTAGGTGGTAGTGGACAACCCTTCTCTACCCTCAGCAACCATAAGGAAATGAGGTCCCAGAGACCTCATTCAGTGGACGGTCCTGGGATGCACACCTAGCCCAGCGCCATTCCAACCTGCATCTGTGAGACTTTGGGACTGGAGGAAGTCGCTGTGTCTTGCACGTCCAACAGAGACAACATCAGACATTGGATAATCTAATACACTCCAGGAACTAAAACCTCGTCTCTCATAGAACGGAAGTCAGACTTTGCAAAGGGATGTGTCCCAGCAGGTCCCAGGGAAGGGGAAGCTAAAGTCATACAGAAGACCCAATAGACAGGATTTTATGTTATTCCAGCCTGAGGCCACGCTGCATGCCTTTCTTGAAGTTTGGAAAGAGATCTTTTTTCTTTTTCTAAAGGGCCTTACCCCACATCAACCAGAAAGAGTGGGTTTCTGGGGCTGCAGCCAAGAATTCTAATTAAATTTTTTTTTCATTTTATGGATATAATTATTCCATACTGCCGATGAGTTAAGCAACAGCTCTGGCCTTTCTTACGGCCTCAGGCTTGTTTTACAGCTCAGGGTTAGCAACCCCACTAACGCTCCTTGCGGTCACTCTAGCCTTATGGCCAGCACCTACCCTGGTGCTTTGCCCCTGCCGAGAAGGGACCTGTCTGTCAGCAGGACGCCTGGATAAAGTGAGTGGTTTGGGGATGTGATGTAGCATCTAGACATAGATCAAGACCCACGAAGGGCCTTTTGCTCCATTCACCAGAAAACCCAGGCTTTCACATTCGCCTTCCCTTTTGAAGCGAGTTACATCGGGCAAAGAAGGAAACAGACAAGCGACCCTCAGTGGCACATATGCCCACTTGGAAGGAGCTGGTCTTCGGTCACTCAGGAGCTTTTCCTAACTACACCAGTATTCACAGAGCCTCCCCTGCTCCTGAACACTGGGGGCAACAGAGGTGGGAAAAATCTGGCCCTTGCCTTTGAGAGGTTCACAGCTGAGAGGAAGACTCAGGCACATAAATATCTGGCTGCCAATCAGTGTCCTGAGTACTGGGGTAGAGCAGGCTCACAGAAGCGGGGCATGGAAGAGTCTGGTTCTTTGCAGGAAACAGTCTTCTCAAAGATGACATTCCATGTGAGTTTTGAAGGATAAACGGGCTACTGATGAGCAGGTAAGGATGGAGATGGGCAGAGATCTGGGAAATGTAATGAGAGAGCCAGTTCCTAAACACCTTCTGCTTCTCCTCCTCATGCTGCTAGAGTTTCGGCCGGATATGTGGCTGCTCAGCTAAAGACTATGCCTTCTTATATCCTTTGCTGCTAGACTCCCCCCCCCCCCCCCCCCCCCCCCCCGGTCTAAGTTCTGGCCAATGGGATATAAGCACCCTTGAGTCTCCTCTCAGTGGTATTTGATGCCATTGATATTTGTGTGAGCATGCAAGTTACTGAAGACTGTTACTAGTCATTAAGTAATGACCTGTTATATCCTCACTCAAAGAAGAAAGCCTCTCACAGAAGAAACCTACTCACTCCAAGACTAGGAAACATATAGACTGCCTGGATGGTGTAAGAGAAAATAAAGTACACGTTCTCCTACCTCAGGGCCTTCACACACGCTGCCTTCAGCTAGACCAGTTTCCCTCATGGCTGGGCTGACTCCTTGCAGGGAGTCTGTCTGACCTCCCTGAAAAGGAAGATCCACAACTTCCATGCTCTCATCACATTTAGTATCTCTCTTTGGGAATGCCGTGTCCATGATTAATCATTGTGGCACATATTTACTATTGGCTTACGCTCCAACGAGTTCAAGACAATGCTTGTCACATCTGGATCCCGAGTCTTACTACTCTTTTTCTAAAAAATATTTTATTTATTTATTTTATTGCACATTTGTCTGTGTGAGAGTGTCGGATCCCCTGGAACTGGAGTTACAGATAGTTATGAGCTGCTGTGTGGGGTGCTGGGAATTGAACTCGGATCCTCTGGAAGAACAGCCAGTGCTCTTAGCTGCTGAGCCATTTCTCCAGCCCCGAGTCTTACTACTCTTAAGAAATGTGTGAAGAAGGCAGGGGAAAAATAGAAGGAAGGAGGGAAGGAAAGAAAAAAGAAAACAATGACTGGATGAACAAAGATGTACGTGTGTGGGGGTGGGGTGGGGTGGGGGGTGCGCCCGTGTGTGTGCATTTCTGGAGAGAATAAAATCTCAAGGAAAAGCATCTCTAAGGAGAAGACATCAAGGGAGAAGGATGCCTGAGGTATGTATCCTTTCTCCTCATCGTCTCTTCAGGTAAGGAAGCTGGTTCCCAAAGCATGTCACCAAGACCCAACACTGTCTGTCTAATGTAGACCCAGACCGCAAGGCACACTGAGGTGGTTTTTAACGGTTGTGCTGTATCCTTTAACATTGGTGTCCTTGATCACATAGGGGGCAGGTCATTTCCTTGTATTGTAATAGCTTAGGCAGTCAGTCACCTGTTCAGAAGGCTGTACCTGTAGGAGTTGGTCCCATTTCGTCATCTATGAAACTGAAAGAGTAAGTATAGTTTAGCAGGGTGACAGTCTTTGAGGAAGTCACTTTGCTCTCTGAATGTTGGAAGGGATGGCTGCCCTTGTCAAAAACCAAATGAGAAAGCTTCTGGGCGTTTGAGCAAAGGGCTCCCTCCAGGTGACACTCCACAAAGGACAGGGAGGTCTGCATAGGAGGCCTGTACTTCCTGGCACAGAAGGAGTCTTTTCTGTAACTAGGAGGCGTTCACCATTACGCTAATCCAGACGCAGCAATTCCATCTTAAATCCAGAGCCCAGTCATTGGCTAGAAGCCTTTTCCCTCTTGTCCATTCAGCAAAGCTGAGACAGGAGAACAATGATAACGAGTTAAAAAGAACAGTAACAAGAGGGCTGGAGAGATGGCTCAGAGGTTAAGAGCACTGGCTGCTCTTCCAGGGGTCGTGAGTTCAATTTCCAGCAACCACATGGTGGCTCACAACCATTCGTAGTGAGAACTGGTGCCCTTCTCTGGTCTACAAGCATACATGCAGGCAGAACATTGTATGCATAATGAATAAATCTTAAAAAAAAAATAACAGTAACAAAACCCTTATGGCCTGGTTTCTAACTGTTGATGTAAGTTGATTCGAAGTATACTAGGAAAAGCTATGTAGAAAGGCAAGCCTTGTTTCCCCCTTCCCAGGGGCACAGGCTTACACAGTCTGTAAATCTGTCAATCTGTCATATACGAGACATCAGAGCATACAATAACTGTATGTTTCTGCTAACTGAACATCAGGCCGAGGAGAGGCCGCCCTTTACTAGCCCAGTCCCTTCTACTGAACAGAGGAGTCATGAGGAACAAACGGCACGGACCCTCATGAATGGGCAAGGGCCCTCCATTCATGGTTTGTCCTGTAAGCGTGGAGCTGGTGGTGAACACCAGACAATAGGCCCAGTGCATACTTGTCTACAGGTCATTGCATTTGCTCACACTGTCAATTCACTCATACACAGGGGTCTCCCCATAAAAGCTCTCCCTTCATAACTCTGAGTCCAACAGAAAGTCAAAGTCCACAGAACAAATTGGATCCTATAAATGCAGACATAAGTTCGTGTTACGACTTGGACAGTAGCTGTCCACCATCGTCAGAAGCTGCTTTCCCCCCTGTGTGGTCGACCATCTTAGTCTGTTTCCCTCCCCTCCCTCCATCTCTCCTTCTTTCCCTTCCCTTCTTCCCTTTCCCCTTCCTTCCTTTTCTCTTCCCCCTTTCATTCTTTCCTCTCCTTTCCCTTCCCGCTCCTCCCCTCCTCCTTCCATTTCCCTCTTTCCTTTCCTTTCTAGAATGCTCTGATTATCGTCTTTTTAAGGCACCGTTGATCTCCAGCAAGGTGATAGAAGGGATTGTCTATGAACAAGGGCTATGAGGCAACGTTTCAAAGAATGCACAAATGCTATAAAGTATGACACACGGAGCCCATGGTGTTTTCTCATTAAACAGCAATGGCCACTGTTGCCATGGAGGCCGAGTGGACACACTCTGGAATCCTAAAGCCAGCCAATGTCCAATTATCATTCTTCCTCTGAGGCACCCGTCCTCCACTAAATCCCCAGTGAGACATCTGTGGGCATCACTACTCTTCTGTCATGTGGGGCCCTCACATTACAGTATAGACTCTCAATAGAACAATCGGACTGGGAATAAGACAGAGTTATTTCCTTTCTGTAGCTGTCAGTACACGGACTACACTCCAAAGCTTGTATAGGATTTCTCAAATACATGGGGTGTTTCCTTGATACCCCTGGCAGGACAGGAGTCACTGGAAACCTCCTGTTTCTGGGTTTATTTCCTGTACATAGTTGGTGCTTAGCAAATGTTAAATGCACATGGAAGGAACAAATCAATCTTATTTGAAATGGTCAGTTTTCTAAAGCTCATAGAAAGGTTGCTTTCCTTTCTAGAATGCTCTGATTATCGTCTTTTTAAGGCACCGTTGATCTCCAGCAAGATGATAGAAGGGATTGTCTATGAACAAGGGCTATGAGGCAACGTTTCAAAGAATGCACAAATGCTATAAAGTATGACACACCGGAGGCATGGTGTTTTCTCATTAAACAGCAATGACCAATTAATAGGCATTACACATTAGACACACATTACACACATATGTGTGTGATTCTGTGTGTGTGTGTGTGTGTGTGTGTGAGAGAGAGAGAGAGAGAGAGAGAGACACCGGGGTGGGGGTTGGGGGGCCTGGGGGGGGGGCGTGTTTTGGGTCTGGCCTCACCAGACTTTGCAGCAGCAAGTGAACACAGTCACCCTTGATAGCCTGAAAGATGTCCCATGATCTAGTTTCCTCTTGGAAAGTGTCAAGAAAGAGGAAGCAAAGTCACTCCTAGAAAAATCGATTTGGGTTTGTTTGCCTTGCCACATCCTTCCCTCGATGAAGGGGGACACGAAATGGAAAGGGACATTAGGCACGGGAAGTGTGGGCTGGGGGAATTCCAGGCCTTGACAACACGGAATCAATCGCTTACCGGCCAGAGAGGAGCAGGGACAAGCGGTTGATGGGTGTCTCCCCCTCCACGGCATAGGTCTGCTCTGTGGCCAGTGTCAAGACCTGCTCCTGGCAGCAGTGGACAATTTCCTTGTAGACCTGCAGGGGCACCTGCAGGGGCAGGCACAGAGTCCTGTAGAGGAGGTTGAACTCCTCAGGGAGGGTATTCACCCGAAGGCGATACAGCAGATGTGCCAGCTGAAGCAGGCAGGCCACCGTCAACAGGAAGTTCCAAAGGACGATGTCTAGCCCGCAGGCATCAAACCAGCCCCACAGCCCATAGCAGAGGTAGCCTGGGCCCAGGATGCCGAAGAGATAGAAGCATCCATACACCCCGCTGCCTGCCATAAAGCCCATGAGCAAGAAGCAGTTGGCCAGGTGGTAGACAGACCCTTCCGTATTCTGCTCCCAGCTACTGCACACCGGCCTCTGCCAGAGGAGCTGACCCAGCGTGCTGCTGTTGGCGCTCATCTTAGGGGCTCTCAAGCCTTTCCAGGCCTCTCCACTAAGGAAAGCGAGGGGGAAAACAATCAATCAATCTGTACTCCCAGGTGGCTCCTCACCACCGACTCCACCTTTGCTGGCAGGAATGCTTCTGATGGCTCTGAGAAAGAATTCCAGAACATAGCACACTTCGCGGAAGATTGAAAAATCTAGGTTCGTTGTTTGGGATTTTTTTTTTTCTTCTCCCTCTCTCTCTCTCAGCAATCCTCTCGTCTTCTCTGCAGCATTCCAGTAAACTTCTTTGGCTCCGGCTTTCTTAGGATAGTCTTCATAATTAGTTCTCAGCAAAAAACACACATTGTCCTGAGAGAAAGTGGGATCACAACACCAGAAACTTCAGCAGCGCGGGACACCGAAGCCACATCCCGCTTTCTGTTGTTCCCAAGCAGAATGAGGCGTGAGAGCCAGCAGGAGAGACACACTTGTGTTCCATTTGGAATGCATGTTCTCTTGGCACCGGAAGAAAGGGTGACCCCAGAGGGATACCATGTTTGGAATTGGAATCCAAGAGGTACTGGCAGTGAGAGAAAACAGGCCAGGCAAACAGGCAGGCTGGTACAGCACTTAGCATACCTCCAGAGGACAAGATAAGACCCTGGATCAACAGAGACAGGCAGAGAGGGTCCAAGCAAGAGCGAGCGGAGAATTTAGGTCCCCAGATCAGGCAGCACACAGTGCAGATGTCCCGTCAGGAGGATTTGGGGATTTGCATGAGGTAGGAGGAGAGTTCAGAGTGGGAATGCCTGGGGCTATTAACAGAGACAGTCCTGGCAGCAAAACCCGGAAAGACCCATAAAAGGTTTAAGACACTCTGCAAATATCGTCGTGCACTGATTCGACATTCATTCAACAAAAGTGGCCCCTTCAACTCGGAGTTGACCCTCCTCTGCAAATATCTGCACCTAGTAATAGTTAATAAACGACAACACATTACCCAAATCACCACCCCATCTACATCAATAACCACAAAGCAGAATGACTACCTAGGAAATACTCATTTGGTGCTCGACCTTCAGCGGATGTTTATATATATATGAAACTCAGTCATCACCATTCTCCCAGAGTTGAGGAAAATGGAACCTCAGAGAGGTAACATGTACCAACACAAAGTAGCCAGCAAGGCTGGAATTTAAACCCAAGACTGTAATACTTAATTCTCTATTTTAAGTGGGTTTCACAGTGTATTTACTATTTACTATATTTACAATTTCTATTGAAAGGCCGGACATGCCAAACTAGATCCACTGACTCCCAACTCTACGCTCCTAAGACGTCTGATAACTTTCAAGGAACTTTTAAACAAACCCAGGGGATCCACGCTGAGAAGTAAATGTAAACTGTGCAAACACTAAGCCAAAAAACTTGACTTTCTGGCTTCTGGAGGTTTGCTGGGTCTCCGTCTTGGCTGCTGGGGTTGGTAGCACTTTGGCCCTATCATTCCCAAAGTTTAGGTGAGTGCTCAGAGGTCTAGAACCATCCAAATGCTAACTCCGCAGGGACTCACTGAACTGAACAACCTAACAAAAATAAGGAAAAATTAGAAGTTGTTAAATGTGCTGTTGAAGCTTCCATCTCGACAAATACTAAGTGCACACTCAACGTCCTGAATGTCATTTTTCAAGAGAGAGGCCACAAACAATGGCAACTCGATGACGGGAAGAAATTACCACATAAAGCTTAAAGAACAGTGTGACCCAGGAAGCAGGGCAGTATGGGGAGGGCAGAGCTGAGTGAGGGGTGAGGTGTGAGAAGAGGGAGAGCGGAATTTGTCCTGGTAAGATAGACTGCAGAGGCAGAGTTACCCAAGTGTGGAAGCTCTTGGCATGCTAACGGAAGACATGTTAAATCTTTCATTGGAATCAATTGATCTGCAAATGGTTTCATACTCCCCTCTCTCTGGAGAGAGGTAGAAAAGGCACTAGAGCATTTGGAGTACAAAGGCCACAGACTGCTCTCTCTCAGTGCTGCTTTGGACCTGTAATGCCTTTTTGGTGTTTGGTCTGGTTTTATGGTTTTTTGTTGTTTTTTTTTTTTTTCTTAGCCTGGTTGTCACTTCAGCCCAGGCTGACCTGGAACTCACTAGGTGGTCCAGGCTGGCCTAGAATTCTTGGAAATCCTCCTGTCTGGCCTCCCACATGCTAGGATTCCAGGTGTGACCGTGAGGTCATCTGTGCTGTGGAGGGTGGGGATTTCCACACTCGGCTTTTGTCGTCTGCCTGCTTCCCGATCAACCTGCCTACTTTAGCAAGAAGCAGCTGTTTGTGCAGCATGCAAGGGTGGGAGTCCCTGCCAGCTGTGGACAGGAAAGTCAGGGCAGGCAGGCATAGAGAAACAACCATGACTCTGCCCGAGATAGAATTTCAAAGCGGGTCAGCAAGACTACCCAAGGGCTTGGCCCTGACTCTTTAAAGAGACAGGCAGGTCCACTCATCACTGCTGGCTTGTCCAGCATCCCTACCGTCCACCTGTGATTAGTTAGCAGGGGGCACTAACATTTATCTAGCAGCTATCCTTTCTAATGTTAAACAAGATACTGACTGTTTTATTATCTAATTTTTTGACAGGGTATCACTACATACTCCCTGCCCACCCCCTTTTTCTAAATAGAAGGAAAAGGCTTGGAGTAGCTAAGAAACTTGCCTAAGATCACAGAGTTCATGTGTGAATGATGATTAAAGCCTAGGTCAGGGTGAGTCTAAATTGCAATTTTCCACTACACCATTCTCCAAGGTATGTGGGGGAGTTGATAACACCTACATACATTTATTGTTACAGAGGAGCTGACTATGTTTGAGTGGTGAGATTAATGTCCATAGACCAGCAGAATACAATAACAGGAAATTATGTCTTTTTTTTAAAAAAAGCCAGTTAGATAGAGATAAAAGAAAAGTATATATATATATATATATATATATATATATATATATATATATATATATATATATATAGTGTTAAGACACTATGTCCTTCTGAGGAAACCCACAGACATGAAAACACACACACAGTGGAAAAACAGAAGTCAAGTCATTTGACCATTTAAGTCAATAAGGGTTAATTCAGACAAACTGTGAGGTAGTAACGGGCACAAAGATGAATGGAAAGGGATTTGTTTGATCTAGAGGGAAGACTAACCTGGAAAAAAACTGCAATCTCCTAAGAGATAACCCCAGGGTCAAAGGAAAAATCTCTGATGGGGGCACAAAGAATAAAGGGGAAACAATTGCAGGAAGGTGATTTAGGGTGGTCTGGAATCTGGGCAGGTGCTCTCTAGCCGGGGAGGGCACTCGAGGAATAGGGAACAGATGTGTGGGCCAGCCTAGTGTTCTAGGTGTTCACTATGATATAGTAAGGTGGCCCGAGACCTCTCATACAGCTGTGTGACAAACACTTGTAGGTCCCACGGTCAGGTGACGACATGCCTAAGGATGAGGACAAAGACGAACAGCAGCAGCCTAGCTTGCTCAAGTATGGCTTCGCCATGGTCATAAACACGGCACCTCCCATCTCCCGACTGGAGACTGAGTTCCACATCTGTGTTGCTGATGGCCCTGTAGTGGGTGTCCAGCTTCTTGGAGCTGAATGTGTCCTGACTCAGATCCTTCACGGGCTCTTCTTCAGGGAACAGCTTCCTGAACAGTTGCTGACTATTGGATTCTACAAAACTGGACATCGATGTCTCATGCTTCACCAAGTTGTCTCTTTGACATCTGAGTCAACTCTAAGAGGAACTGATCTTGTACACTCAATGTGACCGTTCAGGATGACCTCATGGTTAGGTGGGTGAGATGGAAAACTAGCTTCTTACTCAATATCCATTGACCCCTTCCTCCCGTGAAACAGTTTCAGTTAGTTTCAGTTTGCCCAGGGATCTGACAAGACACGGAAGAGGCGGGCCCTGTTTAAACCACTTAACCTTAGGTGTGTCCCTGAGAGCTACTGTTTTCTAAAAATACACATGACAATATGGCTCCATCAGACTGAAAGGTGGACTTAGAGATTCCATGCTGGGGGACAGGCTTCTGCCTCTTCTGCCTGTCTTAAACAAGAATGTGCATGATTCATTTCATTTGTCCCGGAAGAGAGAACTCTGAGATGAAAATAAACCCGGGCTCTGGGTGGTGCCAGCAGCTACCATACAGTTGCATGCAGAGTTGCCCCAACTCTGAACTCTTACACTTAATGCTCATTTTCCTTGGTGGGAATTTTATATATGTGCTATTGAACTCACTAGACTTGGCAAAAGGTAAAATACTATGAGTTTTACTTTTTTTTCTTTTCAAAGACAGGGTCTTGTAGCCCTGGTTGGCCAGGAATTCACTATGTAGAACAGGCTAGCCTTGAACTTACAGATCCACTTGCCTCTGCCTCCCGAGTGCTGGGATTTAAGGGATGTACCTTCTTGGTTAGGGGTGGAACTTTGGACCTACTTCCCTTTCTCCTGTGCTGGAATTCTGTCTGGCTTGAACTTGCACAGGTCCTGTACATGCTGTCACAAGTCTCTCTGAGTTCATGTGGCACTCACTGGCCCTGCTGCGTCTGGAAAAGGCAACTGATATCTACTAGGAGAGGGAGAATTGGTTTTCTTCAACCGAGTGGCACTGGGTATATCAACCACACGCCAAGGGAGGAAGGCCTCATGGTCAGGAATAGTTGGCCAACAAAATTAGACTCCATGGTGTGTGTCTGTGTGTGTGTTATAGGTGTATATGTGCTCATGTGGGTATCGTGCTTGTGGAGGCTGGATGTCAATGGTGTATCGATTTCCCCCTATTTTTTTTTTCTTTTTTGAGACTGGGTTTCTCAGTGAACCAGGAGCTCAGACTGTCTAGACTGGCTGGCCAGTAAGCTAGAGCTCTGGAGAGCTGATATCTCTCTCTCTCTCTCTCTCTCTCTCTCTCTCCACACACACACACACACACACACACACACACACACACACACACACACACACACTGTCGGGGTTGCAGATGCACACCTCTGGCCCTGGCTTTCATACGGGGCTGAAGATCGAAACCCCAGTCCTCACGCTTGTGAGGCCGGTACTTTGTCCACTGAACCATCTCCCAGCCCTGAAGTTTTTAATAGCTAAATAAAGAACCTGGGGGCAGAGTTACACATGAATTCTTGTGGGAAGCACCTTGAATACCCAGCATAGTAAAAAACATTCAGGTTTTCATTTCTGACCGTTTTTATTTATGTACTCACCAGACTAGAAGCTCTTTATGAGTAGAGTACACATCTTACAAGTCTGTGTATTCTGAGCACAGCAAAGCTGAAACGGTGTACCTGGAGGATAGTCTGTATATGTAATGTATGTTGTCATGTGTGGTCTGAGCTCACTGAGAAGCTGGCTCTGGAAGTGGTGTGGCTCCCCCACCCCCACCCCACCCCACCCCTGTCGTCATGCACACACTTTTATTTAGACCATGGTTCTCAACCTTCCTAATGCTGTGACCCTTTAACACAGCTCTTCATGTGGTGACCTCCAACTATAACATTATTGTCGTTGCTACTTCCTAACTGTAATCTTGCTACTGTTATGAATTGTAATGTAAATATCTGTGTTTTCTGATGGTCTAGGGCAAACCATGTGAAAGGGTTAGTCGACCCACAAAGGGGCTGTGACCCACAGGTTGAGAACCACTGCTTTAGACCCAAGCACGTTTGTTTATGTCCAGTGTCCTCCAAAACAAACTCACCCTGGGTCAGACTGGACTCCTGGCTCAGAAGCAGGGCGAGCAGTCAAGGGCGTTTAAAACTGTGCCCTCGAGAACCGCTAGAAAGTGAACTATTTCCATCAGAGACTATTTATCCCGTAATGTAAAAATGCCTGCAGTGGGGATGGGAAGCTGGAAAGGCCCTCTCATCAGGAATTCCAGCTGCCTCAGCTTCCCGGTCGGTTTCTGCTGGATAACTGTGAGCAGCTGACTTGAGGGTTACCTTCCTGTTGTCTCGTGTCCTTTACAAAGAGGCACTGCTCCACCGACTCTGAAACAAGAACTCCAGCTGGCTGACCAACAGGGCTTCCCTCTTCACTTCTGCCAGGTGTTCTGGGCGCCCGCTTCGATGGTCCTCTGCTGTCTGTCCTGACTTTTGCTTCCTATATACTTACTAAATCCACTTGTTCACGACTGAAAGTGAGGCTGTAGGTCACAGGTCATTCTCCAGTCCAACAGAGCCAACAGTGAGTCAGACCACGTAACTCAATATTTAGGGCTGTCCCAACACATCATCAGCCTTTGCTAAGTACGTATTGGATAACTATATACCTGCAAATGTGAACTTTTATCAGGTACCCGGTACCGTAAGCACTGGGCTCGGATGACAATCGAGACTTACATGCCGGGTCATCAGCTATTTCTCTAAACACCTGTACTCACCTCACCTGTAAAGTGGGGGTACAGTTTCTCCAGAAGCATCACCCCAGACCCAGGGAAGGCAGAGTACTTCTAGGTTTGGCCCTGCCTAGGGACATGGCCTGTTTTCATTAACTTCGAAGTTGAAAGCCTCAAGGTTAGACAAAGGGACCTGTTAGACAAAGTGGATCTATACCGAGTTTAGGAATTACTGAGCATGAGAAAGGTGTGTCAGCATTCGGTGGTCACCCACTAGGTCAAATTCTTTACTTTCCCATTGCTGTGTTAATATCTAAGTATTATTACTGAAATGCTGCATACTGTATCTGGGAAGGCTGTGCACTATGAAGGCTGGGCAGAGGGTCTTCTCTGGGAAGGCTGTGCACTGGGAAGGAAGGGCAGAGGGTCTATCTGAGATGTACTTTTTTTTTTTTTGGTTTTTCGAGACAGGGTTTCTCTGTGTAGCTTTGCGCCTTTCCTGGGACTCACTTGGTAGCCCAGACTGGCCTCGAACTCACAGAG